GATACGAGGTTTTGAAGTCATCCAGGCTGGTTATTGATTCAGAAAAAAAAGAGTTTATTGGCAGGAACCAATTTACCTCGGTGGTTAAAAGAATCATTATTGTTCTTAGAGATCACGGGTTTGAGCATCAACGATTGCAGTAAGATAATTGAGCATTCATGTCAAATAATTGAGAGTATTTAGAACATATACTACTTCGTAATAACTTTATTTTAATATTATTAATATTATTTCATGAATTATAGGATTATTATTTCATGAATTATAAATAATTGTAAGTTGCAACTAAATTAACTACTTAATATTATTTCATGAATCATAGGATTATTTTGTCGGCATTTATTTCAAGGGCAGTTGATACAATTTTACAAATAACACCATTAGAGGAGCATTTGGGAACTCCCCTTAACTACATTTCCTATAACCTTTTAACAGCAAACATCTGTTATATTCTTTCCTTCTTCTTTCATCCCATTTTCCTTTCAAATTGCATTTCCTTTTGGCTTGATCTTTCCTTTTGTGGAACAAATGACATTAATTAAAGAAACAGGAAAAGCGCCATCCCTGTATGTGTCACGGTCTGTGCACTGGATCGTGTGCCGCAGGCTGCTCATGAAAGATGTAGGGGAAGCTAGCATTCCAGTTACAGATTTTACGGTAAATATTAGAGAAAATAAGCATATATTAGATTCCAGTACCTGAAAGGTATGGAGGCCAATCAAAGGATAGACCTGAAGTTTTCAACAGGGTCTGACTCTTCAAGCATCGATGCTGCCTGGAGGCAATCTACGGCTTCTGCAAGCCTACCATCATCCTTATGTACCATACCTAAGTGGTACCAAGCCTTAAGGTTGGTAGGTTCGATCCTCAACGCGTCTGAGAGTACAGTTCTTGCCACAGGCAATGCAACTGACCCCATCTCGGCCAACAATGCACCAATCCGTACCTTGGATGGTACAAAATGTGGGTCTAGCAGACCAGCATTGATATGTGAAGTCAATGCTTCATGGAATTCTCCACGTTATTTGCGCGCAAAACCTGGAATATCGTTAAACAAATCATTAGTGCCATTACAATACCTGGATTCTGGAATTTCTCCCATTTAGTTCTCGCTAAAACTCTACACAAGTGTTCTTTTCTACACTTTTCATTACTTAACCTAGAATTTTCTACCCGACATCATCTGTCAAAAGGATAGTTTTCTCCCTAGTGGCTAGTAGAAGAAAAGACATTTTAAATGGTTGGTGAACATGCTGAAGAAGCATCCTGAAAGAGGCTGTAGTTTTACATTCTTCATATCTATTTGTTCTGAACATTCTCGCCCAATACATCATCACCAAAGGCACTTATGATATTTACCAAATTTATTAGGATTAAATGAGAATTGTTAGTTTGACTTGAATGTATAGATCTACTCCAATAAATAGACAAGAAAATTCATAAAAAAAAAAGAAGGCTCATTCAGTAAAAAAAGGTTTCAAATCTTGCCTTCTGTATGCAGTCGGAAAGACTTGTTGTAGGGGCGCGCCTTCGCGGACAGCTGGGGGAAAGGGCATCTCAGGCATCGCGCCTTCCAATTAAATATCACCTGTCAACCTTTAATACTGTCCAACCGTCAGTCCCCCTCTCTTATAAATATTTCCTCATACAACACTCAAACCACACTAAAATTACTCTCATTCTTCATTCTATCAAACTTTTAATAGATTCGTTATAGTTTTTAGAAGGTAAAAATGTTTTTTTATTATATTATGATAATTTAATAGTTTATTATTTTATTATATCTTATTGTATTAATTTTTTATTACTTTTTGCAGTTATAAAATGGATGGTGAGTTACTGTGTTTAGATTAGAATAATATCTCGAGTCATTTTGTCAATATAGTAACAATTTTGTTTTATTTTTAATTATTGTGAATATTTTATTTATTTAATTTTTTAGTATTAGTTTATATTTTAATTTGTTTACTATTTATTTAATTAGGAGAATGATTGTATATTAGATTCATATATTCGTAACGCTAAATTAGAGATATCATATCGTGTCTGGCCGTATTTAACCGAGGCTAGATTTAGTTACATAGCGAAATATGAAGGGTACTGTAAACTTGAACCCGCCCTTATTTATGCACTGATTGAGACGTGGAGACCAGACACACACACATTCCATCTTATGTGTAGGGAATGCACTATTATGCTGGAGGATGTTTCCATATATTCGGGGCTTTCGGTAGATGGGGATGTTATTTCCGGTGTGTTGTTGAGGTGATTCAGGTTTAACGAATAGTACAGGCTCAACACCATCCACGGTTGGCTTAAGAAAAGGATCTTCTGGTAGAGATAAGGGTTCCTTTATGATGACAATATTTAAGTCCAACAAGCTGGTAGTTGAATGCCTTCCCCTTGAACTTGAAGGCATCGTGTCATACGGGCCACAAACTTAGTGTTGTATTGAAGGCATCTCCATATTAAGGTCGAAAAAGCTCGCAATTGAATGCCTCCTCCTAGAACTTGAAGGCATCATATCAAATGGGTATTGAACATCTTATTGTGTCAAAGCATCTCCATATTCAGATAAAAAATTTGGCAAATTAATGTCTTCTCCTTGAACTGAAAGGGATATTGCCATACAGATTGTTCGTGGAGCCACCTCGGTAGAGTTCGTAACTAGTTTCCGATGAATGTTTCCCATTGAACTTGATGGAATGGTACCAAGATAATTTGCCACTATTGAGGTAAAATCATTACACATTACTTGAGTTGAGATGCCAACTTGATCAGCTTGTCAAGTAAGCCCATAGTGAGAGCATAATAACATACCACGAACTGCAGACACTTCAAAAAATGTGGCATACATATGTGTAACAACATATGAATTTTGATTATGAACATTAACCATCATAGCAACATTGTCATCGTTGGAGAGATTGAATGTTGTATAAGTTTATGAAAATACTTCAGTCGAAAATCTATACTGAAGTGAGGATAGTCTTCTAATACTCTCAACATGAACCTTCCTGAAAATTTTTGTGATTAGCTCCTCAAGAGTGATGTTTCTCTTGAAGGATAAGGTGATATAATGATTTGATACGAAGGCAACACCAGTTTCATCTTCTCGAATTTCTCCATCATAGTAAATAATAGCTGAAATACGCCTCATTTTGAGAGTTTGAGATTGAGAGTTTCAAAGATTGAGAGTTATACGATTTAGAAGTTTGAGAGATGTAGTAGATGAAATTTTTAGTTTCGAGTCTTATATATGCAAAAACGAATAAATGTTTCTAAAATATGATCATTCTCGTAATTAAATAAATAGTATACGAATTAAAATATGAACTAATACTAAAAAATTTAAAAATATTCACAATAATTTAAAATAACACAATTTAATATTATTACCATATCGGCAAAATGTCTCGAGCTATGATCTCCATCCAATCGTAACATTTCACATTCTATTTTACAACCGTAAAAAGTAATAAAAAATAATTAGTACAATAAAATTTGGTAAAATAATTAAGTATTAAATAAATATAATATAATAAAAAATATTTTACATTCAAAAAACTATAACAAAATCTATTTAATTTGATAGAAAGAATTAATAGAAGAAAGAATTAATAGAAGAAAGAATGTGAAAGTAATTTTGGTGTGGTTTGATATTTGGATTTGGAGGTATTTATAGGGGATGAGGATATGGATGGGTGGTTGGCCAAAGTTTAAGGGTGTTAGGTTGGGTAATAATTGAAAGGAAATAATTGAATAGGAAATAATGGAAGGCATGTCCCTTGTAATGTGCATCCCACGAACGCGTCTTCTCACTGTGGTGTCAGCTTAGACAAAACACATTGAAGGTGTGTCATTTGTAACGTGTCTTATTAGAAATAGTGTTAGATTAATAAAATTTAAGGAACAAGTTCCTAACAGGTAATATTTTATTATTATGGTGATTTTTCGGTAAAAACGCCAAAAACATAAGATTCTTGTAATTTAAAAAAATTAACGTGACACTTGTATTAATTTTTAAGGTACAAGAGCCTCATATGTTTTTTTATCTATTTAATACATGTATCTTGATAAATATATTAAATATTATATTTATAATCTTTAAAATATTTAATACAATATTTATATTTTGATAAAATTTTAAAATATAGATTATATGAATGATCGATTAATTGGATAAACTACATTTATAATCACTTAATTACAAACGAGTTTTATTTTGACTATTGATTTTAAATTTTACCATTTAATTAATTAAATTATATTAATCGAGTAATTTGTTGTTAATATTTGACAAAATATTTAACCTAATAATTAAAACATTTGATTCTCATTACATAAATATATCATTAATTTAGATCTAATTTTAATTTAATTAAAAAAATTAATCCTCCAACAAAGTGATCATTTTAAGTTGGGTGATCATTCTATAATACATCATAATATGAAAATTCAACAAAGAAGTCATAAAATCTAATAATAGTTTCTATATTTTACCCAATATAATAATGTGATACCAATTACTAGTTAGTCTAGTGGGATAAGACACTAGATTTTTTTAAGTAAGATTAGGATTCATTAGGGGTTCAGAGGATCGCCCTTGCCTCTGCAGTACCCGATCCAGATTAATCGAATAATAGATCATATATAAGTGGTTATACAAAAAAATATAATAGTCAAATATCGTGTATACCATTAGAAATGAATATTCGATCGAGTCAAGTAAAAGAATTTAAATTAATCGAGTTTATGATTATCATTTTATTATTTAACCTTTGAAAACCCTCCCTTTAATCGATTATCAGTTTATGATTATCATTTTATTATTTAACCTTTGAAAACCCTTACTTTTCATCGTTGTCAATTTAAAGTGCCACCTAATACCCTCCCTTTAATCTTAATCGTCCATTTCTCCAATCCACAGTAATATGCTGGTTATATAACGAAATATATATCCGATTTTTATTTGTTACATAGAAAACAAAACCCTAATCGAATCATCGGGAGAACAGAGGTGCCGCTTCTTTTGCTATTTCTTTTTCTTATCTTTTCCTCACATTTTGAAGGATTCTTACTATTGCTATTACGCACTAAAAAAAGAAACTTCCCTTTTCTCTCTAACCACAGAAAAAAGAGGGCAATCTTTAGGGTTTCCTTTCCTTCTTCGTAACTTCTAACTTGTGTTGTGTGATTTTCTTCGCAGCCGAACAGCGATCAAAGCGAATGGAGGATCCTATGGTCGTCAATGGCGAAGTGGAAGACCAGACGGCGGAAGATTTCTACGACGCTGATGAAACCAAACTAACCCTACTGGATTCCAAAATCAAATGGCTTGAAAGTCAGAAGTTGGACCTAAGCAACGATAACAATGAGTTGAAGGACAGGATCGAGAAAGTAACTTTGGAATTTGATCGACTACGGGACCAGGAAGCAGAGATGCGGAAAGAAATGGATCAGTGGGACGAAGATAAGAGGGTTCTGGAATCAGTCACCGCGAGATCGGCTTCTCTTGAAACCGAGGTTGCCAGGCTTCAACATGATCTGATAACTTCGATGAGTGAAGTCGACGAAGCGAACAAGGAGTTGAGTCGGTTAAAGGGAGATTTGGAAGAGAAAGGGGCGTTGATCGAGAGGTTGGACAGGGAACTCACCGAATTGAAAAAAGAGAAAGTTGAGGGCGAGCAGAGAGAGAGGGAGTTGGAGAGGAAATTAGGGGTTTTAGAAGTTGGTGAAACGGAGGAGAGGGGCAAGAGAGTTAGGACCGAAGAGGAAATGAGGGACAAGGTAAATGAATTGCAGAATAAAGTTATGGAGCTCGAAGCAGAGTTGGGGAGAACAAGGGTTGAACTGGAGACGACCAAGGAAGAAAAACGAGAATCCGAGGAGAAGGCCACGGGGTTGCAGATGAAGTTGCTGGAGGTGCAGGAGGAGGTGGAGAAGAAGACATCTGAGGGCATCAATGGCAAGTCTAGGGAGATTGAGGGGACTTCTGGGAGCAAAGGGAAAGGTCCCACCGTGACGCCGTTTGTGGCGGCAGGAACGGTTGCTGCTATTGTCGTTGCGGCTGCTGCGGTGTATCTTTGCAGTAGGACGCGATCGTAAATCGATGAAGACTGGTGCCCGATGACGAACGAGGTTAGACTATTGATTATTATCAATAATGAATTTGGATGTCGAATTTTTGATAGACAGTCGGGTTTTCAGTTTTTTGCCCATGGATCTCTACATATATGTATGTTGCTTGGTAGTTGAGTGCAAAACAAATGTTGCACTTGTGTTTATCTTTTTTTGAAGAAATTTCTGCAGTTTGGCTTGATGTATTCAAGCTGCTATTACACTTCTCTTTTATGGTTGTTTGCGACTTTGTGGTAATTAAGCAAATGGCATCCTTGAGAGACTCTCTCTTTCTCTCTCTCTATAATCAGGGTTTAGGAATTTCCATGCCTAGGCTGTTAATTTGTTTGGTCAGTTGTATGATTTGTTCAATTTGTACAGTTCCTGTCCTGAAATTATTTAACTGAATATTTACCTTTTTAGCATCGGTTGATATATATTTCCTGAAGTGGCACCCTTTCGGCTGAGCTGACGAAAGGCGCGTCCCCGAGGACGCGCTTTACCCGTGTTTTCGCTGAGTTGGATGCCACGTGTGGAAGATGCATCCCCGGAAACGCGCCTTCACGGGATTTTGATGATTCGACTGCTACGCTGGTATTTTGTTTAATAATAAATATTTTATTTTTATTATTATTATAAATTAGTAATATATTATGTAAAATGTTTCAATTATAATGTAAGAATTATCAAATGTATTTTGTTAATGTGTGTTAAAGGTGGAGTGAATTATCTACATTAATATGATAGAACAATATATGAAAACCAGTTTTGATTTTATTGTAATTATAGAAAAAATGTATAAAATTATAATATTACACATATGGCTATATTATTATTTTTGATTTTGATTGTCGATCTATTAATTTTATTAGTTAATTATTTAAATGTTATTAATCTAGTCATCTCTTATCAATATTTAACGAAAATATTGATTCATAAGTTAATAAATTAGTATAATTACATATTTAATCTTCAAGACTTACATATTTTATGAAATTAGTCTTATTAAAAATTTAATTTAATAAATTTAATCTTCCAATCAGAACATGAAATGTGTCATTGTATACATAAATTTTTTAATAATTTTTAATTTGTTTAATTTAATATTTTTCTCTACTTAGAAGGTGGAATTATTATTATATTTTAAAAAAATTTATAACTAATAATATTAATTATTATATTAAATAAATATATTGAAAATATTTATGTATTTAAAAGTTAAAAAAATTATTTAGGTGTACATATATTGACAAATTATATAAAATGCAATAACATTAAATTATTAGAAACAAAAACATTCATTTAAATACAATATTAATTACATAAGAGTTAACGATTATATAACGATAACAGAGCTGGATATATTTTTCTATTGTGTCCGATGTTTCTACAATGCCCACATCGTTTTTGTTCTGTTGACTTCTCCTGAATATCCATATCACAATGTATTCTAGTAGATTTTGGACGACCTGAGTCCCTCAATAGCAATGGATCTGGTACAATTGTAGGCCAAGTTTGAATCTCATTTGAGTCTCTTTCGTTTCCTATAGGCGGAAATTCAAATTCATATACCTTGAATACTTGTGAAAGTTGGTATACGTGATCAACATAATTTTTGTAGTCCAAATGCGAATGTGAGCAAGCTGCAATGACATGAGAGCATGGATATTTGAGTGCTTGAAAGAAACCACAATCGCACCACCTCTCTTGCAGATTAACTCTGAAAGAGTTAGCTCTAATCCCTTGCAGCGGACGTGGCATTTCGGTTACAAAAAATAATTCACGGGTGCGAGAAAAATTTGTAACTAATATCCCATTTGATGCAACCACTTTTTTCTGTAAATCAACTACTAGTCTTGGGTGGTAAATATGACCGTTTTGCATCCAAGTAAGAGCTTGTCTACCGAGACTTTGCAAAGAGTTGACCCAAACAAAAATAAGTCGTTTTAACCAACGCCGTGACTGGTAAATGACGCGCCCCCTTTAAGGTTGAATTTATTGCTTCAGCCAAGTTTGTTGTCATATGACCATAGCGATACCCCCGTCATATGTCCACATTTATTTGCTGATGTCCATAATGTACTCGCACCCCTTCTTATTTTTGCCAAACAGTTCTTGTAGCATCGACTCAAACCTTTGAGGTAAGAGTTCGTAACATAAGCCATTAGGAATATGTAATAGTTAATATGAAGTATAAATAAGTAATAAGAAATTGATAGAAAAATTGGGAAAAAGTAACATACCCATCCGCACGACTAACTGACGTTCATCGTTCTTCTTGTATTTTCCGTAAATGTTTGCATAAATATGACAGACACAATAACGATGTTGAACATGTGGAGGTCTATACATTGTACTCAAATAGTCCATTGATGCTTTTATCCCGGCTCTTCGGTCTGAAATAATGCATACTCGTTCCCTGGTGACAACATGTAAACGTAAACTTTTAAGGAAAAAAGCCCAAGACTCAGTGTCTTCTCCTTGAACGAGGGCAAACGCAGCAGGAAGAATATTGCGGTTTCCATCTTGGACCACAACCAATAATAAAACTTGCTTGTATTTTACATACAATAAAGTACCATCAATTTGGACAACTGGTTTATAGTACTTGACTGCATTAATACACTGAGGGTAAGTCCAAAAGACACGGTAAAATTGGCAGCGATCGCGAACCATTCGATCATTCACGTAATGATGTTGAGTTTCGAACTCAACAATTGTCCCGGGATTAAGTCTTTGCACAACATGAAACCAACTGGGCAGCTCGTTGTAAGAGGAATCCCATTCGCCATGAAGTTTGCAAATGGAATTCTGTTTTGCTAACCACGCTTTTTTATATGAGACAGTGTACCCATATTGTGGCCTCTCTACATGGAAGGTGAAAAGTGTGTGTCTCGGGCCTCCACCTCTCAATCAGTGCAGAAATTAGGACATGTTCGAGTTTGCAACCGCCAATAATTGTTGCAATATACCCGAACCCGGCAAAAGCCAAATATGGCAAAATACGTTCTGGTGTCGGTATATATGGATTTTTAATAAAAGTCTCTAAAATACGATCAGTATCCTAAATAATATACATTATAAAAAATTAAAATTAATATAAATTCATAATAACTTTAAAATAAAAATAAATTTAAATATTAACGTTAATTATAAAAAATATTACCATTTCGCTAAAATGTCTGGAGATATGATCAATATCCAATCGCAACAGTATTTCGTTTTCCATTATAACTGTAGACAAAACAATATAATTAGCAAAAAAATTAATAATTCTAAATAAATAATAATTATATAAATATTATTTTAATAAAAAATAATATTTATATAAATATATTAATATAAAATATAATAATTATTTAAAAAAATACTAACATAAAAATAAATTTCTTACCACTAATAATAAATTTAAAACTTAAATAGTTAGAGAATTTGAGTTATATAAGAGAGAAGAATATGATTTTGGTGTGAAGAATGAGGGAGGGTTGAGGGGGTTTATATAGGGGAGGAAGAGGGGTAGTTAGGGAAAACGGATGGGGGCATTTATGGCATTTAATGGAAGGCGCGTCCCCGGGGATGCGCCTTCTACACGTGGCAGTCGAGTCATCAGAATCCCGTGAAGGCGCGTCCCCGGGGATGCGCCTTCCACACGTGGCATCCAACTCAACGAAAACACTGGTAAAGCGCGTCCCCGGGGACGCGCCTTTCGTCAGCTCAGCCGAAAGGGTGCCACTTCGGGAAATATATATCAAACGGTGCTAAAAAAGTAAATATTCGGTTAAACAATGTCAGTTTGGTCAAATCATCATCTAAGGATGGGCATGAGTTGATTTTCGGTCAATCCGATCCAACCTAATAAAATTACAACTTTTACCGGAAATTTGACATGTGTTTTAAGATAAAACTCGCATTACATATATTTCTTAATTATTTCTAAATATATAAAATATCATTATATTATTTTTAGGTCAAATATTTTTTCATCTAAAATCAAACTTAAACCCAATATCACAATCTTAAAAATCTGACTTAATTTGACTTATTTTTTTTAAAAAATATAGCCCAATAAGGTTGGGTCGGATCATGTGGTCTAAATCTATATGGTTGGTCCGTGCTCATCCCTTGGCGTGTCATCTCACATACTACAATTCCAGTCCTTTAAATGTGTATTCTTAGTTCAAGGTTAATTTCTTTTATTATTTCGTGGACTTGTTTTTAAAATAGTAGTAAACTTGTAGTGGTGAAGTGGCATATACATTCTTAATTTTTTTTAGTTGGACAAATACGTATCTGCCATCTCATTACTTGGTTTGAAAATATGCTATGGTAAATTGTTTGATGAAGTTAACATCAGAAAATAAGTTCTATAATTAAGAAATGCACATTTTTAAAAAATAAAAAATAGGGAGATGGTACATTTTAGACAATATGACCTCTGGTTATTTTCCGAACGAGTTAAACTTGGTCTTTTATGAATGATGACAATTCTTCATGTGTTGGTTCATTTGGTGAATCGGAAGGTGCTCCATACTTTTGCTGCTTCTCCGATCATGTTTTGCATTCTTATAGATGAGAGTTGAATAAGGAGCATTTAGGTTTTGAGATATATGGCTGAAATAAAATAAAAACTTTAAAAGATGAGATTTTTAGAGTTGTAAAGGACAATTGGATTTTGCACACAATATATCATTTGGTTGATAGAAGCGTATTACTCTCAAGAAAGATGGGAGGCAGAAGAGATGAACAAATGACCCAAAATGGTGGCTAAGAATGGACGGAACTGTAGCCATTCGGTGATGAATAGAATAGGTGGAGGTAAGGTTGGACATTTTACTAGCATTTTGGTCCATCCTTAAATTCTCTGCTCATTTCAGGCCCATCATCATACCATACTCTTTTTTCTTTCCTTTCTCGTTGGCGTGGGTCCAACTTCTCCGTTTCTGCTTTCTTAGGCTTACTTAAACTTAAATAATAATAATACTAATAAAACCTAGTCCCCCAACCATTACCAATTCAGCCGATCAACATTTTCTGGCGACC